CAAACGAATTATTTTCCAATTTGAAAAATTAAAGTGTTGTATTACAGCAATTTGTAAAGCCGACTTAATGAGTACCTGGCACCCTCAGTCCGCAATTCTTTATTGTCTACATAGTAAATCATAGCCAATGAATGGTTACCTTTACAAATATAACGCAACAACTTGTAAATTAATTCATTCTGTATGAAATTTACCGAGAATCTGCCCAGGCAAATTACAAATGGTCGGCGTATACGATTTGACGGTGACACATATATTTATACAACCGTTCCATTGACGCAGTTTCGTGTACATATCCGCTGCATCAATGTATTCATATCGATACAAAACAAATCTCATTTCAACTCGATCGCTTTGTTGTTGTACGTCGAATGCATCACAGAATAATTTATCAGTTATTCCCTTGTTATTGTCGGAGCTGTAGGCCTAAGGACTATGGAATCAAAATAAGGTACACCTGGATAACTTTCAAAGTCAAATGTACAAGAAACTTGTGATTGTAACGAATGAATCTATCAAGAGATTCATGGACACAAACAAGAGCCTTGTTCTCGTGAGATGTACTTATATTAGAAAATTGAATACGTCAGTACATCACTTGGAACTTGTAGCTAGTATTTTAACATCGAAACGAAAATACACTAGATTTTTTTATCTTACTACTATTATAAATGCTAATGTTCAATTGGTGGATAGATGGATGTTTGTTACAAGGCATCACTGTTGTAGATCATAGTCAGGAAGAACACACAGGCTACTTATTAGTTTTTTTTTAAATTCCGCACGGATGGAATCGCAGGCGACAGGGCTAGTGAAAGCGAATTAAACAATATCAATTCCTCGACCGCAAGGCAAACCGTGGCCGATGCGAGCGTCGACTTTCATTTAGAACCGTCACTTCATCTAGGACCGGCTCGAACAAATGCTTTGCGAATGAGCCACATTGCGATCTAAACTAGTTGGTCCGCCCCACTAACTGCACACGACTCGTCTTACTCATGTACGATATTTTATATTCCAGTTTTAAAGAATGTCATGCAATCGTAATGTAGGTATAGACGTACACACAACGTTAAAGCGACGAGAGTCGTCTAAAAGTGCGGTTTTGTTCTTTAACGGAAAAACAAGTTTTTTTTAATTATACAACAGAAGTTTGTATTTATATGTTGCTATACCAATCGACGATAAGGTAACAAAATAATATGAGGGTTTTCGTGCCTTTTCAACTATATAGGGTACCTAAATTTAATATCGTAAATTAAAGTGGTTATTCTCTACTATCTATGACAAAAGCAATAATCAAATTAAGTTTAATAGTGTTTTTATTTCACTTTATATTCTGCAAAATGTCCGTAACATTGTTAAAGAAAGAAATCGTTCCTTTTACATTACAAACGTCAGGGCCAGCCTTCGAGCGTTGAGGCGTGCACGATCGCGATACACAGTCTCGAAGCGGCTAATGCAGGCCCTGTAATTGATCCATTTATTTTGCCGTGAGTGTACATCAAGACAAGCATGCAAAGTTAATACAAAACGAACAAACCGATATCCGATACGTAGGTAAAGATTTAGTTGTTTTGTTCTTTCAATCTATAGCGTAAACTAGAATCGAGGTGATTTTAAAGGAACATTTTAAAAATTTATAACATTCTAGCTATCGCCTCAGTCCGTGCGGAATTAAAAATAATTTGTAGCCTATGTTCCTTCCAAACTATGTTCTACATCTATGCCAAATTTCAGCGAGATCCATATAGCCGTTGGGGATACCTTCTAACAAACATCCATTCAAACATTCGCATTTACAACATTAGTAGGATTAAATAGTAAGAAGATATCAAACTACTAATTCCTAAACGTATTATAACATATCCTGGCATGGATTAAAAAAAATAGATGAAAAAAAATAGACTAACAACTTTATATTTTAGTTCTGTCAATCAATAAAAAAAAACAATATCGTTCTACATTTTACCGCGAGATATAAAAGATCTGCTAATAGATGTGTGGCAACCTAATGGCTTCGACGCGTTACATATTTTTTATCTACATTTAGATTATCTGTGCCACTTTCACCGAAAATTCTCTACACGCGAGTATCTGATAAAACGTGACAATGTTACCTTTATTTTTAGTATATTTCTTTATCGAACTCATTATTTAGTACATTTGAATAATTAGATTTCTTACCTTTGCTTTCTGAATATAAATAGTATAAAACGTATCGTAATCCCTGTCATTACCTTTGACAAAATAGAGATAACAATATCTTTAAAACGAGGATTTTGGTCTCATAAATCCACGGTACATCTTTTATAATTCGAGTCTAAGATTTATTTCTTTAATGAATAGATATGTCATCACAGTCTACTAAAGCTGAATTAAGTGCATCATTTTTCTGCAATTTGCAATATAAATGCGAAAGTTTAGATGCATGGATGGATGTCTGCAAGGTCTTTAACAAAGACTAGAAGTATGGCTGTATTGTAGAGAAAAGAAGCTTCCAAATTTGTTCTTACGTAACCGAAATTTGTCTTATTAGATTCTAATTCGATTATAAATTGTAAAACCAAATTGCTCATTATTCAATTGCTGTCTTATTAAGTTATCAATTAATAAATTGTGTTGTTAATTGCAAATTCTTAAATAAACATTGGTTACTTTCACTGCGCGTGGGCATACCTCGTCTGTACGCGTAGCATTCGTAATAGCCGTACGGAAGTATGTAGGACGCCCGCGCCGGCACGATACCTTATCTTATTAGGTTAATAACCGATAGTCGGCTATTAGAAATATCACCGCAATCACGCCCTTATCATTTGACTTGGTCACATCTTTTACGTAGACGTGTTGTTATACTGGAAGTGATATTGTTTAAATAAACAAACGCTATTAGTTTATTGAAGTTTTGATACTATAAAAATACTAGCTGTTACCCGCGACTCCTTCCGTGCGGAATTAAAAAAAACATAATCAGTAGCCTATGTGTTCTTCCACACTATGTTCTATATGTATTATATATCAAATTTCATCGCCATCAGCCGTTCTGGAGATACTTTCAAACAAACATCCATCCATCTAATCATTTGCATTTATAATATTAGTAAGATATAGGTATTATTGTAATTTATTACTATAGTAAAAATGATTTTAATAGACTTACATTTTTAATTTAATAAAGGAAAAAAATTATAAATTTTATAGCTAGAATTAAGTTGTAAAGAGTGGGCTTCAGAAGAAATGCCTTATTAAAATGTAAAATATTATTCTCAGCGTCTTTTTAATTTATAAAAAGATTCTCGCGTTAATAATCACTTTTATAGACAATTCCAGGAATGTTTTTTAATTTTGTAAAACACATATTTTAGTTGGAAATATTTATTATTGAATTTTACGATAATTAATTTTATATTAATTTATTAATCAACAAAATTTATCTATAGATATTTTTAATAAATTCAAATTACATGTATTGTTTATTAGAAGTTTTTTTTTATTCTGTAAACACCCACGAAATTGATTACAAGATGCATTATCTTTTTTAGTCTGTCCTCACACAGCGTGTGATTATTTCGTACCAGTATTCGACGCTAAACAATGGCGATGTAATTGTAATAATCATTGGGCTTAAGAAAATTACAACTTGTAAAGAACGTTCTGGCACATTACATTGTATTTAAATTTTCAACGCTTCGGAAATGTCATAAAGATTTTAAAAAAAGAAAATATCTTGAATTATAAACATAATTTGTTAACGAAAATTAATAATTAAATATATGGTCTTGGGTTGGAATAGTTTTTAGGCTATTAGTCGGTCTGTCTCAGCTCGAAATTCGATTGCCAGTCGCACGAATCTATAGTGTAATTTATCAAAAAGAAAATACAAAGGTTTGTGTACGCTCCCATAAATCTTACCTATCCAAAGCCATTATCATAAACATGGTTGAAATTTATTAAATTTGCGGACAAAAGCCGTCCATTCGCTTGGGGCGGGACACGACTCACTTCGTTTATCGTTTGACAATAAATTCTCTTTGAATTATTTCGATACTTTTTGATTTGTAGACGAAATTAAACTCCATCCAAACGCTATTTACTTTCAATGACTCTTATAAATGTTTTGGATAAATATCGATGCATTGAACTACTGCTAAAGTTCAGCAAATTAAAAAAAAACCCTATTTATAACTTGTCATATATATATAAAAGAAAGTCGCGTTAGTTACACTATTTATAACTCAAGAACGGCTTTACCGATATGGCTGAAAATTGGTGAGGAGGTAGTTTAGAGCCAGGAGACAGACATAAGATACTGTTTATTCATTTTTTTCGAACGTATGCCTTGAAGAGTTGCTTTTTATTTAACTTACTAATATTATAAATGCGAATGTTTAGATGGATGTGATGTGAATGGATGGATGGGTGGGCTACACTAATTAAGATTTTTGGTTTATCCATGCGGACGGAGTCGCGGGCGACAGCTAGTTTTATTTATATTGAAATGACAAAGTATTTGATTAAACATTAGTGCGATGACATCGCGTTAACATGAGCGGGCTGAGAAGTTACAAGCTAGTGTCACGTAAACAGGTGTTTGTTAAAAGCATCAATGTCATGTCAAGCGTTGGCCATTGTGAGTAAATTTCTGTCAACGTCTCGCGTCAACTTGACTGCCGTATATTTGATACGTATCTAGTGTTGACATTCCGATAAATCTTTACAAACAATGATAAAATATAATCAAGCTCAGTTATACCAATTTCAATTGCAATTTAGTAAGCTTTTTACAGATTAGTTCTTTCGATTTTAAACAAAAAAAATATCTTTTGTATGCACTTTTTAGCATCTTTGAAGTTTATTAAAAGTTCAAGTCTTCTGTGTTTTGATGGTGTTGCGAGTCTGCCTATTCATGTAAAAGACGTTAGTGCTGCCTCTTGTGATAAACTTAATGCGTGATTGCAGATTTTATGCTACTTTGTTAAATCTAATACAATAAAGCTTACCACTGGAGGCGTTTTCCGAGGCGAACAGCGGGGCGGCGTTGTAATCTGAAACCAATTAAGCTATCTTTAGTTTTGGAGTTTTAAACCAATGACTCAAAAATAATTCAATATAAGTAAACTTATGCAAGAAACCCGTTATATACTGTGACCTAAAAGATCAAAATAGTGTTTTTGGAACGTCAAATGCTGAAGAAATGGACCAGGACTATATCTGATTGTCCATTTATTGAAGCTAACTGTAACTTAGTAACTTATACGCAGCAGAAAATATTGTTAAGTTGAAACTCTTACAAGTGGTAACACAAGTTGGCTGGTTTGGAATTTTAACAAGTCGTTTGGAGGCGAACGACTGTTTTCAAGGTGCATTGTTCTATTTCCGCATTCTTCGACAATCAATTATGAACCGTGAAAAAAACAATAGAAATGTGAAATAAAACGAGATTATGTATTACTTTGTTTCGCTTACAGTGAAATATTAATACATATGCGTAAATATTACTAGATTAATAATAAAGCGCAATTTCACTAGCCCATAACTTGCATGAATATGTGGGGGAGTCTCCGCATATAGCTAACGACTTATAAAATTGATTGATACATCGTGCGGGGACTAAGTTGACGATTATAATGCGCGGAAAGGAATAATAAGGGCTTTCGCTAAACGAAGGCCCTGGCGATTAGCGAAAAAGGGTTTTCGCATGCAAACGCTGACATGCGTGAACGACTAATGGAACTGCGCCTTAATATCTTGCTGTCAAGCGTTTTATTAACTATGCAAAAACATACGATGTCGGAAGAATCGATTAAAGTTTCTAACATAATATCAAAGTTTTTCCTATTGTCGTAACCGAATAGCTGTATAGAAATATTATCAGCGTACAGAATTGATTAATTTCGATTGGTTCAATGGGTTAGATGAGTTCGATGTTGGGCCATGAAACGACGCGAAGGCCGCGGGGTAAACGACACGTTATTACACAACTCGCTGTTGCCACAGTGTAGCGGTGTAACCAGTTTAGCTTGACCTCCACATTCACTTACAACGCGCATTTCCTCGGCCCCTCGCACGGATACGACATAATTTAATTAACGTAAAACCGAGGATATATTGCGCTTTCTTTACTCGCTACATGTATTGTAGTGTAATCGGAATTTTTTCGTTATTATCTATATATTATATATAAAAGAAACTCGTGTTAGTTACACTATTTATAACCCAAGAACGGCTTCACCGATATGGCTGAATTGGTGAGGAGGTAGCTTAGAGCCAGATGACGGACATAGGCATTTATTTATTTTTTTGGAATTTATGCCTTGTACATACTACATATTACAAATGCGAATGTTTAGACGGATGTGATGTGGATGGGTGTTTGAAGATATCTCTAGAACCGCTGAACGGACTACACTATTTAAGTTTTTTTATATATCCACGCGGACGGAGTCGTGGGCGCGCAGCTAGTTTCCAAAAAAAATTGTATAAGACAAAAAAACTAAAATATTACTTTAATAAATAGGTAATTACATATCACAATTTATTCTAATCCTAAACACAAACAAACTTGTCGCTGTAATTGATGGTTGCAATAACACGCTCTAAAGTTATTCAGTAACGAACAAAACTGACATACTGATCGAGTATTCAGCTGTAGACGGCTGCCATATTGTTCTACGTCTACGGCATGCAAATGACGACACTCACACGAGTATAGACGCGACGCATGCACACTAACGCGTCATGTACACACACAACGTACGCACACAACGCGTTTGGTTGTGTCGCCGTCATGTCTTAATTCAGGTTTATACGCAACACGCGCAGTTCGCGGCCCCTTTTTAAATAGGCACTGATGACAATTTAACTCAAAATAATAGCTTACCGTGGGTTTCTCAAACCAAAATTGTATAATAAAAACATGCTGTTATTTCTGTTTTGTCAAAAATAACGACAAGGACAATATATTTTGACTCAGAAACTGACGGTTAATTATTCAAATCACGAACATCCAAAAGACCTAGAACATGTTAATTACAATAAGAGGATTGTAAATTCTTTGTTACATATTTTCTAGAATTAAAATAAATAAGATTACCTATGTGTCCTAACCATATTCGTGCATAACTCTTACAATTTGTGTTTCTTTTTCAAAAAAGGTTACATAGTTTTTTTCGTTACTCTAAAAATATAACAATACTAATAATCAATTACAAAATTGTAATTAACAATAAGAACTATTATTTTAATAATAACTTGCTTATTTTTGATTTAAAGAGCAGTAAATTACTTACGATGTATCATTAATAAGGTAAAATAACTTTCATCCTTAAAGTTTTTTTGCTACTAGAACCTTCGATGTATTTTTTATACCTACACAATCGTATTTCAATTGGAAAGTTCAGCGTTGTGGTCTTGCGTAAACATGTTTACTAGGCTCGACTTTATAGCATAACTAGCTATCGCCCGCGACTGCATCCGAGAAAAAAACTTAATAAGTAGCGTATGTGTTCCTCAAGACTATGTTTTACATTTTTAACAAATTTCATCAAGATCCGTTAAGCATTTCCGGAGATACCTTGTAACAAACATCCATCTAAATTTCGTATTTATAATATTAGTAAGAAGTAAGAAGATAATTATAGACACTATGTAATTTTCTTTTATTTAGTTTTTAGATGCATGGCTGTTTGTTGTTACCCTATCTCCAGAACCAAACCGATAAGATTTATAAAACTAAGACTACGGCTCCTAAATTCGTACGTATCATTTTCGACCATATCATTTTATAGGATAGTGGTCAAGCGGCAGTTTTATGTGTGAGTTAAACTCATAGTTTTTAAGATAGCAGGAGAATCTTTATCAATTATTTTTATCGAAAATAGTGTTAATTCGTAGTAATAGTAATTTTGTGTACTACATGTTGAGTTGGACTGTACTCAGCTATTTTGCTTCGCTCTGAGCGGACGTTAGGGATATTAAAGCCGGTTATTTACGTGAAAATAAAATTTTATTGCAGCTGGAAACAAAGGAGCCTCAGGCCAAGGTTGTCGATCCGCAGACGTTTCTATGTGAAAACGTATTAGGTACTAGGTATACATAAACGTCAATTCACACCTTGAACCCAACTCTACCACTAAATTCTTAAATATTCTCAACCCGATAGCAAAAACAAACAGGACTACTAACTAATCTACCATATTTATAAATTAATTTCGTACTCTACTTAAAAATAATTTATGCATAATTAAAATTCAAGTAAAATGTTGCAGCATAACTCAACCATGACTAAAGCTGCATACTGCAGTTCCATTACTGACCTATCGCAATGGGGAATTTTGCGCCCTAAGTACCATGGCCGAGTGACCGCGCGCCAGACTTTTTCCATGTGCACGGTACACTGAGGCGCGTGCACTAATGTGTAACAGCAACGCACACGCACAACGGTCTATGTACGCTGTTCCTGTGTTCCCTTTCTTTATATATTCACTAGGGTTGTCAAAGCTAAAACATTTTTCAGTAAATTGAAATGGTGTAAAATACTATTTTCTACGTTTCGGATATGGAAATAAATTTCATATTTTATTTTTAAGTTGTTTATATTCTGTACCCTAAAAAGAAATTTACGACAGCAACTTTATTAAATTAATTTTACATTTTCATCGAATAATTTGTGATTCAACCGATTCGGTAGGACGAAGGGGTCACAACCAAATTATAAATGTTTTTACATTACTACGTAAAACAAGAAATTAGCAAATAGTGTACCTTTTTACCTCTAAATTTCCAATAAACCAGTATTTACTAAGCAAGAAACTATAATTAATATTAAAACTTTTTCCAGTACCAATTAAAAGGAGAATTATCCAAAATAAACTCATGAACGTAACGCTCAAACAAGTGAAAGTACTTTCACGTACATAAAGTCAGTAAAGCGAGGGAATACGATTCGTTTCGCTCGATATTGCCAGGTTAACTGACGGCCCTAGGGCTAACGGGCGAGGGCGGGGTGTCGCGGGGGTGTGCGGGGTGTTGCGCGGGCGTGAGGGCGCGGGAGGGGGCAAGTCTGAGTCCTGACCACGCACAACCATCACTGCACGCTTCCCCGACGACTACGGCCTATATTTAGAGATGTATTTCGCCGTATATGCGGTATTGAACGGCCTACGTTTCAGAGCGGGCTCTCTATTCTGCTCCATAGGGGCGTAAATGTATAATACGTTGCGGTTGCAAATTCAACGTTCCTGTATTGTTCTCGGTTTTTAAACGCGCTCTATGGTTTGGAAGGGAAGTCTTTTTCCTTGATTAAAACGCAGCCATCCCTTTTTTTGGGGGTATAAAATGCATTTGTTCACGTCAAATTTACTTGCGAAGCGGAACGTGCTTGGAATATTAAGCAATTAAATACGTAATAACGTGAATTTATTACAAAAAATATAATCAGTAAGTGCAATACATAAAAGTTTAATATTGTGATTCTTGGTAACTTGGTTTGTCCTCAACTTTTAGTAAGGAAAAAAAGGCTTCGGTAAAATAAAAAAAATATGCACACAAGCATTCTCGTGTTTTTGTATATACAATTCAAATTTCAGTTATGAAAATAATAAATTAAATAAATATTCAACATGTATTCCATTTTATGTAAATCGCAACGATTTCAAGACTTCTGTAAAGAACCAGTCAGGGTGTATTATAATGTTACTAGTAGTCACCTCTACTCCGTTCGCATGGAAATAATAAAAAAAAAACATAATTAGTAGCCTATGTGTTCTTCCAGACTCTATTATAATGCCAAATTTCATCAAGATTGATTCAGCCGTTCTGGAGATACCTTCAAACATCCATCCATCGCATTTATAATATTAGTAAGAGTAAGATATAATATTAAGATTTTTCGGTGTCATATGTTACTTAATTAAAAGTATATTTAATTGGAACGTATAAGTGATTCATTCATACCGCACAATGCTCGTTTAAAGGAAGTGCCGAAATATTTAACGGTACCTAAAAGGACTTGGAAGAAAGATTTCGAAAGAGCGATAATGAACCG